ATGTTCAGCAGTGGACATGTGAAGGGCTGTAGTGATGATGATGAGGATGATCGTCGGTAGTAAAGACTGAAATCAGCGATTGCAATTAAGTATAATAATATTTAAAATGAGATAGTAATAACTCTCATTGCGCATTTTAAAATCACCAATCAATATTTTGACAATTATGACCACTACAACTACTTATATTCGTTGTTCTTTTAATTATCACAAAATCTTACAAATTATTTGTGCACCTTAAGAATAAAATATTCCACCTGTCAATGACATTAAGCAGCCATTTTTGAAAATATAGGTTAAATACATGAATTCAGTCCAGTACGCTCAATAAATTAAAATTTTGTGGCCGCGGAAGGAAAAGGGGAGATCTCCCGCCGGGCAAGGTGATGTGCCCGGTAAGCGGCCAACACTCTATGTGATAGTTTGGAGATGTTCTATATATTATATTGTTTATGATTCGGAACTTTTGATAGCGCGATTTAGGCTCCGGTGTGTTTCGCTTGTGGCGCGACGACAGCGCCGCCACAAGTTACTAAAAAATCAACTAATTATAATAGCGTTTTTGAGCCTTTACGTATCGATTTATTATTACAAAAAATTAACGTTGGTTGAGCTTCTTTATATTGAGTGGGAGTGGCCCCATCCGATAAATCTTCCACGGGCCTGTAAATGTGTAGTTACTTTTTAAAAGTAAAAATCATAACGGATCTGAATCGGCAATATAAACTCACCTACACTATAGAAGTTTTAATTATAAGTGCAGGTGCAGAATGTCACTTGTAATTAACATTAAATGTTGACTCTAGAATGTAAAAATTATGTACTATTACCTAAGTAGGTATTTGAAAACACTAACCTAGATATTTATGCTACGCTAAAATGTATGCTTGAAAACGGCTATGTAAACAAAAATAACAAATGTAATTTTTTCTTTTTTAAGACTACTAAATTTATAAATTCGCATAATATTTATATATTTTTTTCTATACTTCTCCAGCTGCCTTAAAGTGTTATTATCAGAAAGAAAAAAATGTTATATAAGAATATTTATAATATAAATATATGAAAACACTTAGTTCATATTATATCATCATACTGTTTTATTGGATATAGCTGCATTTTTTAGAATAAAATAAAAAAATAAACAAACTATAAATAATTTTTATACATGGTAGGGCCATGCTGCAGCTATATGGTTGTGGCACGAAAGGGTCGGCTCGACCGGGGAAGGGTCACGCTCTCACAGAATACCAGCGTAAAATAGCAGTTTGATACTGCTGTGTTTCGTATGGTGAGTGTAGAGATCTGGAGACCCTTTGTTACTGGAAACGAGGCATTCCATCTTAGTCCTCAGGGGTGACAACGCATCTGTGTTTTGATTCTTAATGGAGGATAAATGTAGATGTCTGTAGGCCATACAATAATTAAAAAGATCTTTTACTTACCGTAGTCAAATATATTAAGCGGTTTAAAGGTACATAAAACCTAATATGCCGACAGACATCTTATTTTCAATCACTATCTTGAAAAAAAAAAACTGAATTCATCCCCATTGAATGCAAATAATAGACGGTTAAATATTCATGTATATTTTTTTTAAATATTTGACTCTTACTAATGACTAAATTTGGCCTAATTTGTTGAGAGTTACTCTCTTATTGGCTTGTATCATACGTTACACAGTACAGACTACCTAAGGTATTGCCGATGAACCACTCTGGTCGTCACTATTGTCACATATTGCTACGACCTCACTTCAACTAATTGAAACAGTTGTAAACTTCTTCTTTTTTGTGGCGGTTTGGTAAAATTTACCAACGACTTATTGAATGGAAAGTAGTAAACAGCCAAACGAAGCCTATTATAACTTTGTTGTTTATAAAACTAATACAAAAGTCGTAATAAATCAAGAATTTTCTAAAGTTAAATTTATCTTGACGCCCTTCAACAATTTGTAAAAGAAAAACGATAAATTTTTCGTCAGATTATCAACGAGACGAGACACAGAAATTTTAAATTATTTACATATTTTGTAATTTATTAAATACAGGGGGTATACTGAAAATTTTGCACTTCTGGTTTCTCAGAACTGCTTGAATTTCGAATGATTTAGTTTTTACACACGAGTCCTTGATAAATTAAAAAAATAGGCGGAAAATCATTCGTCATTTGTTTTTTCTTGCACTTTGAATTTTGGACGGACGACTTGGAAATTTTACGTCATCAAGAGTAATGTACTTTACCAGATGCTACTGTTACTGTATACTGTTACTGTTTCGTACGGGTTGAGCTGTTACGGAAGCATTTATAAAGCCCACCTTGAAAAATATGCGAGCTGAAAGCGCAGCCTAAAATGTAATACCTCTCTTAAAATAAAAGATAAATTTAAAAAATTCTTATGGTCTTTTCCATCATTGCAAAATATTACTACACGACAAAGCGAAATATCTACTGCTGCTTGAAAGCAAAAACAAGGAAGAATTAACAACTAGTCGTATTTATACAAAGCTATAAATGAGACTTGCAACGAATAGTATTTTCGGCCACACGCCGAATTTTCTGCAGTCTTCCTGGCCGAATAGTCGAATATTAGGCATAAGTATTCGGCCGGGCAGGTTTATTCAGAGCATCTTTCCTCTGAAGCTGGAATTGTCTACGAGAAGAGAAGGAGTAAGCTACTGAAAATATAGAAAAAAATATTCTTCCTGCACCATAATTATCCACTTCTAAATTTTAATTACGACAATTCATGTGCATATACCTTTTGTTGATAGTTTTTAGTTAATTTTTATAATACAGAAGTTGACTATGTACCTATGACTACTTTAATGATTACAGTGTAATACATTATTATAAAATAAATCAACGTTTTTCTTTTACCAATTATACGACTACAAAAGACAAACATTTTATTTAAGTATTCGGTATTCGGCAGAATGGGATAAAAGTAGCCGAATAGGCCGAATACCGAATACTGGCCGAATATTTGTATACAAGTCTAATATAAATATAAAAATATGTATGTAAAATTTATGTCAAAATATCCAGTTTCCGCTCTTTTGAAATTAAACTACAAAACCAAAAAAATATGAAATGTCTGAAAGAAGTATTTTTAAATATTAAATAGAATTTTATCGACAAATTGTTAACAACAAATAATAAGGCAGCGGTCGCATGCGACCCCTTAGGGATTGAGTGGTTAATAATTTGCACTATATAAAAATAAAATTATATCTACTAAAACATACCTTAATAAACAAACATAATATTCTCCATACGTAGATATATACGTACACATATATATGTTACATACTATACACATAATTATAACATTTTATCCTAATTACTAATCTTCATTTATCATCACAGAAATCTAAATAATAAGGTAAATTATTTAGATTTCTGTGTTTATCATACTCATTAACTATGATTTGCTTTAGAACCTAACCGAGTTCAAAAAAACATATTTCCATTTTGTTACCGATTGAACATGATCGAAGTTACAAATCGGAGGTCTAAAGAAAAATTTGTGTTTATTTTACACCACCGGATATTATATGAATATTATACTATCATGTAAAACAAAATTAAAAAAATGAATGAATGAATTCTTATAATAAGTTAAGCATGGTTTTATATTGCGTCCTGTAGTGTTTTGTTTATTTTTTATTGTTGGTCTGAGACAAGTACAAATGTCAGGACGTAAGTAAAAAAATATTAAGTGAAAAGGTGAAAATTAAGTAACAAAACGTAGGTATCTATCAGATAATATAAAACACGTTTAAAAAATAAAAGGTAGGTAGTTGGAATAATATTTACACTTTACCACTTTATGTAATTAGTGCTTAATAACTTACTCGTACATTAGCCCACGTTTTGACACATTTTTTAATTTCAAGGTTGGTAAATGGCTTGCATGTCATCAAATAAAGGAAAATAAAGTCTATACTTACATAGAGTTTGTAGAAATTACACTCGATAAAATTACTTAATAGCGATTAATTTTATATACCAAATCAAAGAAAATTGTACTTTGATTTGTATATAAATAATTGAAAAATGTTTCCACAAATTCTACACATAGAAACAATTTTTGTTTCATTTATCATCAGCTATCAGTTCCAGTTATTACTTCAAAGTTTGTCCAGAATACGAGATTCTGCTAACTTAATAAAAAAACACTTTTTAAATATATATATATATATATATTTATATTGAGGGTGGTGGGGGGGGTGAGGGCTGTTGTGATGATGTATATATATATACAATATGTAACAAAAACCCTGTTGTTCCCGTTAAGTATGTTATCAGAATCAGTAGCCAAGCGTATAGAAACATTTTTTTTCCAAAAAACGCATTTTTTTTATTTTAATGAAAAAATATTATTTTGCAAATTGCATGTGGTTTTATTTTCTCTAACTCACACGAGTATCGGTAATGCGGGGTCTGACAATCCTCTTACTCCTCGGCCAATGCAAAGATAATATAACCACATAATTTGCAAATTAAATTTTTTTTCATTAAAATTAATTTTTTTAAATGCGTTTTTTTGAAAAAAAATTATTTCCATATGATACTGATTCTGATTCTTATAACGCAGTTAACGGGAACCACAGGGTTTTTGTTACATGTTGTATATATATATATATATATATATATATATATATATAAGCAGCAGCAATTTTCGAAATACTTTTAACTGCCGTAATTAGAGCAACTACGATTTGATATTGTTTATTTCAACTCATTTTTATCATCATCATTATCATTACAGCATTTTACAAGTTCATTGCGTCGCCATTTGTAATACTAAATTGCATCACCTTTTTTTAAACCCTGAAATTCAGGCAGTAAAACGCGCTCGCTAGTGTTGTTTTTCATTTTCTGTTTTTAAATTTCATCATATTTTACTTTGGGTCTACAAAAAGCTTACACGTACAGCTATTTTTATTTAGATATTAATAAACCTTATTATAACTTTTTGTTAGAAAAATATACACCTTTATCATCGTAAAAGTTTTTCTGCGGCGCGTTAGACAAGCTTTAATAAATAACTTTAGTTTTGTTTTTAACACACACTAAATAAACACACACTAAGTCTTCACTGATACAACGTTTAAACAATTCTATTATAATAAAAAGAAAACAACATAAATTCAGGATCGCTGATAATATTTTTAAATATCCATTTAATAATCGGCGGGAAAAACGGCATTTCGTCCGACCGCACTTGTTTCCGCGTCAAATGAAAACTAGCTACTAGTTACTTGTACCGCTGTTACAGCGTTGTAGTAGGCTGGCGATTTAAAACTAACCCGATTTGAAGTTTTTTTTTATCGCAAGTAACGTGCAATACGTGAAAGAATGTAACATTGCTTTTTATTCTAGTTTTTCCAACAGTCATATTTTGGATACAAGCGTTTTCCTTTTCGGATGTTTACGTAATTTTGTGAATTAACTGATCAGTCGTTCCGAATTTTCAGTACAATGTAAAGCGGATTTGTAATAACCAATAAAAAAGTTTAATACACTACACTTCATAAAAAGGAGTAGTTTGTAATTCGAATGTATGTTTTTGGTATGTATGTTACGCCATACTTTCGTCAATTGTGAATCGATTTTGATAAATCTCTTATTAATAAATAGGTTTGTTCTTCAGGGATAGTTCGATGTAAATTCGGAGAAAAAATTTTCACCCTCTTAATGTCACTGATTAGATGTCTTTGAAATTGTTATATTTTCAAAACTGTAAAAAATTAACTTTTAATAAACAAAGAATTTTAAATAAATATCTCGGAATTAAATGGCTTCTAAAGCCGGTGCTAAGATGGTGAATTAAAAAGACTTTAATTCTCCTTGAAGTAGCATTTTACTTTTTTATAACATTATTTTTTAATCATTACAAGGAAAATGCTGTTCATTTCATAATTAAAAGCATTTAAAAGATTATTATCTATTTCGTATCTTAGAGTATCCGAATATCCCCCATTATTTTTTTATAGTTACTGTATAGAATGGTGATGTCACAGGTATTCTTGTAGCTTATAACAAATCTTTTAATAGATCTTATAATCATCGCTAAAAATTAAAAATACTAATAAATACTGTATATTAAGGGAAAATATAAAAGGAAAATATAATAGTGAAAAGTAAGATACGAAGAGATTACGTAGGTCCAATATAGGAAGAGATTATGGAGATACATTGTAAATTTTTACTCATGACGGAAAATTGATGTCGTGTACGGAATATAGATTTTTAAAATAATTAAAAAACACAAGAGGCGGATTAAATGTCCACAGAGCCCTAGGCTAACGCCACATCGACGCCCCTCAGGTGGCTATAAATTATATATAACTATGTATTTTATTTTACAAATAAGCTGTCATAAATTATAACATATTTCAGTGGAAAAACATGAAAGCGGGGTTCAATGAAAATCTACCCCAAGAGGGACCAGTATCAATAATTCTGGAGAATCTTTCACTGAGAATCCATGCCCAAATTATCTTCCCCTGGGCGTGTGGATTTCTGCAACATAAGGGAACGTCATTCAAACCTTAACCATGGTTGCACATTGGCTAACCAAGTCCTTCACCCAATTAATCAGGTCTGGGGATAAACAGTACGCTGGAAGCTTCCTCAAAAGGCTAGCGTGCCAAATTTTGTCACAGGCTTTTGCGGCATCAATTGAAATAGAAAGCGTTTTCCCACTGTTCTCAAGGGCCTCACCCTTATATGTTGCGACTTGTGAGTGACATACGCTAGAAGGTCCCAGTTGATCGATTTCGGCGAAACCCGTACTAACGAAATCATTCGGCTCTAGGTATGCCATGAGGTGGGCACTCGATATTCGCTCCATATGAAGGTAATTGAAATTGGCCAATAGTTGACAGGGTAAAAAAGAGCAACCGCGCCAGGTTGTCTTTTAGGCACAGGTTGCACATTGACTAACTCCATGATTTAGGTACCATTCAAGTTCTTAATGAGAGCCGAAACAAGCGTGTAAACCTTTAGAACTATATACTAGGTATACCATCAAGTCCACTAGCTTTGTTCACGTCCAGACTTCGCAAAGTTATAAAAAAAACCCCCCTTTTGGTGTTACGGACCTCTGACATAGAGGTACCGCAGTGCGGTAATTGGTGGTACGCTGTTCCTACTATCCAGACTCAAATTGCAAGTAAAAGAGAGAAGCAAAAAATTCCGCGTTCTCTGTATATAGACTTATCTTTATTTTGTTTATAATGCCGTAGCTTTTTTTATTTGAAGTTGGCGGCACGTGTCCATGGGTTGCGGTAACTACTTACCATTAGGTGGACTGCAAGTTCGTTTGTCACGTTAATTTAAAAAAATACTTTAAAGTGCAAATATCAAGTTTATTATATCGACTTTAAAATCACTACCGTATAGTGGCTTAACCACTACTAACTAATATCCACTACTCCTTATCGTAACGTGGGTGTCGTAAGAGGACACAGAGGAAAACTGAAACAGGAGATGGACTGCAGCATCATTCTAATAACAAATTAACTGCGGTTATCAATCCGCCTGCAAAGCGTGGCAACTATGGCAAAATCCCCCCCGAGAGCTATAGCTGTAGTTATATAGGAGGACAACGTTTAGCAGTGGACAATTACTGTAATGGATGAATTATTCTGTAATGGAATGGATAGGCTATAAAATTTATAAGCGCTTATTATACACTGCTGTGCCCGCGACTTCGTTCGCATAGAATAATGTTAAGTAATTTATTATTATACTTCCCTATTTGTATGGAATTTTGTTCATAATTTCATGGATTTTTTTGCGCGGAGCCCTCTTTTTTTTGTAAAATAAAAGTAGCCTAAGTTACTTCTTATAACATTAGCTATCTGCCAGTGAAAGTGCCGCCAAAATCAGTCCAGCAGTTTCAAAGATTAGCCGGAACAAACAGACAGAAAATTTTAAAAATTGTTTTATTTTGTTATTTGTACCGTGTATACTTTCATATGCATTTAGTAAAAAGCTGTTATTTTGACATTACAAACAGACGCTTAAATTTTATTTATTTGTATAGATTAAACTATTACGGTTCTAAATTAAGTTATTCGCGAAATTATATTACTATATAATTATTTCTAGTGCGTTGATCCTATCATGCTGACAAATACGTTGTCTGAATACTAAACGATGGGGTAACGTGCGTTTACTGCGGGGAATCAAAATGTAAAAAGGAAATACCTTTTTGTTTTATCTTAAATCTAATTTTCCTGTTCTTTCTTCTTGCGATACGAAATTCAGACGAGTTTAGGTGTTGGGAATATTTAAAAAGCCATTAAAATAATTAAAATGTCAAGTACATTTTTATATATGGCATGTGGTGGTAGAATCCTTCATCCCGTTTCGACTCATGATAAAATACTAATTAATATTTTAAATTTTTTACAAAATTTTTTGGGGGTACACCCTGCTCGGCCGCGGTGTTGCCGCGCGTGTCTTTTCGGGTTTTGTCTGTACGTATATGCGAGGGGCAAAAAGCACGCGGCTTACCTGATGATAAGTGGCTCCCGCCTGAACGACTACAACACCAAGGAAATTGCAGATGCGTTGCCGGCTTTAAAAAAAAGAATAGGCTCTTTTCTTGAAGGTCCCTAAGTCGTATCGGTCGGAAATGATGATGGCGGTCTAACAATCTAATCATCATATAACCATCATCATTATCAATATCCCAGCGAAGGGCAGCAGCACTACGCCAAATGTGAGGGACATCAGGTACTGCGAACGTTAATCCTGTAATCAATCTCTGTCAAGCAAATCCTCTTAACAACGGGAGAACCCCATGTCCAGACTTTAACGGGCTGAAGAAGAAGTGAAAGTACTTAGGTATGTACACGTCGGGATGTACAATATAATGTAGAAAGAGAGAAAGTAATATTTATTCATAGCTACAACATAATACAGAAGTTAAAATTCAATGCAGAGACAACAAAATTATAATTATTATTGGGCTGCATCTACGAAGCGACTCAGTTATGGAGTGTAAAAGTAAGGAGTATCAACTCCCATAGAATAGTTGAAAAAGTGTCCATCTGTAAGCAGTAAATAATAGTTCAAAAACTTTCCACAACAGCGCTCGAGTAGCTACGGGTTACGTTAAATCGCCGTAAAATACATTGAGAGTGATTTTGAAAATAAAAATTTTGAAAGTTGAGTCTGTACTCCTTACCTCTACACTCCATATACTCAGTATTACCTTATGGCGACATTGCCGCGGTACTGTTATTCTACCGGTTCTTTCGGCAAAACACAGTTCACTCAAAACTGAGGGATCCCGTGCACTGCGTTCTATTGCACACGGTGCTCGGGATTAAATTCAAAATTTTGAAAACTACCGACACAAAAATATCTCAGAGATCTTCAAACGGCTGAAAAGATTTTCTTGAATCATAGCTAAGAACACTCTCGATCAAGTCGCCTTTTGAACAAAAAAAAAAACGACGAGTGAAAGTGTACTTGAATATTATGGGGAAATATAATCTCAAATGGCTTAGCAAGATCCTTCGTTATGCCGAAAATATTGCAGCATTAATTTTGAAATAAATATATGGTAAGGTTGAGGATTAATGTTAAGGATTATGTTAGACGAAAACACGATTTCGTAAAATTTTCTCGATAGAGCAAAAAATCCAAATGTTACCTCCAAAATAGAACTTAATAAACCGCTGTTGATTCGTAAAATGTTCTTTAAATAAGATCATGAAACTTTGCATACTAACTGAACTAACTATAAAGTCAGTGCTTATGTTATTTACTTTTTTTAAAATACCATTATTTACACTTATTTCATTAGGTTTATCATATTTATGCCTGTTTCTTAACGCCAAGCCAGTCGCTTCCTATTTTTATTACGGTTATTTCCCATTTTATTTTTACGTCGTCCTGTTGCGTAATGTATATTCTGATCGTAAGCGACACAACCTCCCCGTTCAAAGGCCGAAGCGAAGTGACCGTGCGGCAGGAATCACGC